ACCCACCGCCAACTCTTGGGCTACTCTTTTACCAACGAATAGTGGGATTGACCGTCCTGAGTTTAACATAAATTACACATTTATATTATAGATATTGCTGAGACATAATCTAATTTTAAAATGTCTAGTCTTCTTGTTTTGTGTAGATATAACCAGATGTTATGACCTCCTGTCACACCCTTCTTTTAAAAAATTTAAATAATTCTCTCTAGCATTTCCATTGAATTATATATACTTATGATAGAGAATGCTTTCAATTTACTGATCTCCATATAAGGTTAGTTCATTTTCATGATAAACTCTGAATTATTTGGCCTATAAATTCATTGTTGCCTAGAGGTTACCTCTACCAGGTAAGGGAATTACTTTAACCCACTTAAAGCTTTTAGAAATCCAGTTAAATTTTTTTACATTTGAACATTTTATGTCCTTAATTGCATATTTGAAATAAATAAAAAATTATAGTTTTATTTACTCCTGTCTGTTTTGTCTGGTTTTGAGAGCAAAAAAAAAACACAATAGACAAGACCTAAGCATTAATTTCTTTTTATTTATTGTTATTAAATATGCTGAGATATAAAAATTAGAAACTAATTATAAATTAAATGATAATATTTCTCAATGAGGTGTGCATGTAAACTGCCTGTGTGTTATGTTATTTAATACTTTGTTTACTGTAACTTAAACTAGACATGGTTAAAAGAACAAGAAAATTAAATGAAAATAGATGTAGACTGTTACTTGTGTGAATCTGTTTAAGATAATTATTTGTAATCTGTTACAATCTGCAGTCATTCTAGAAAAAAAAAATCATATTCATTTAGGAGGTTCTAGAGGTTAGGCAAATGAAATTTGAAAACTGTAACATGACAAAAATTTGTTTTGGTTTTTAAGTAGAAAATCGCTTTGCATTCAGATTAACCCAGTGAAGTCTTCACAAGTTCATGGAAAAAGCTTTAGTAAAATTACTTAATTAAATACCTGTTTTTTATGTACAATGAACTTGTGATGTTTACTAAAAGCTAGCCAAAGTTCATGAAGGTATGTTTAGTAAATTCAGAATTGTAATATGTATACTTTCATGGTTACATTCAGGTTACAAAGTTGGTCATTTTGACCAAACCCACATACAGAGAGTTAAATGGCACATAATGAAATAACTAGCTTCGATACTATTAATTACATTAATTATTAATAAGTGATTAAAATCAGCACTATGAAACAATAATGAATTTAATATATAATAAGCTATAAAAATATTTTGGTAGAGATTCCATTCTCAGTCCTAGTTGTCATCTTATAGTTATAGTGGATAATGGCTGTGGTAATAGCTCCCAAAAGGATTGGCATATACCATCTATCAGACAAAATCCAAACAATGGTGTTAAACTAGCCAGCAAACATGAAAAATCAATTAAGGGTGTGGAGTTGAGTGCTTACATCCACAAAGTCTCAACTCCTACTGCCTTTCACTGTTTGCAGCCAATTTATTGTAGGAAGGCAGTTGCCCTTAAAAGTTCTTATTGTTCCTAAAGTAGAAATGAAACCATCCTAAAATTTCCACTATATGAAACTCCCTACTTTAAAAGTTCTTACGTAGTTCATACATTCCCAACCTTTTCTGATTATATTGAAAATTTATTCAAGTATAACACGGGAAAGCCGAGGCGAACCCAGCTACTTGTACAATGAATCAGCTACATATCTTCAAGAAATGCTCATTCAATTTTAATATGTTACCAAAGTTTCCTAGTGCACGTGAAATTAAAATATTTAAGTAGAAATATTTCTATTTCAACAATTATTTATTCAAAAATATTTTCGAACTAATATTTTGTAATTTTGGAACATATTTAGTATAATTTACAAACAAAAGTGATAAAAATGTTCAAAATTACATTTGTACACAACTTTGAGGAATCTCACTTGTAAAAAATATGTAGATAACAATTTTTTTCTGCTCATCCCAAAAAGTATAGGTTTGTATTTGTTAATCAACTATTCTGTCTTGAGGATATAATTAACCAATAGCAATACAATTAACCAATAACCTTTTGTTATTGTCCTGCTTTGTGAGTTTTATTTTCACAGGCCACCTTCCTCACCCATTTTGTGACATTATAATGTGGTGTGACAATTACTGATGAATTACAGTTTTGGAAATAACTACAGGCAAAGTTTAACTGCTACTGGATAAAATATATTGTAAACTCTATAAACCATTTATTGGTTAAAGTGGCATGAAATATAATTTATGATTTTGTAGAAAAATGATTAGATGTAACTCCTGCAGCAAAAAACAGCATTTGGTGGGAAGTTTAGAAGACTTGTAACAAATAACAGGTCTGGGAATGATTTCATAGATTCTTTAGACTTCCTTTTCCTTCAGTTATATTTTTAAAAGCTAGAATTTTTTATGGTAGGAAATCAGGTAAACATAGTTAGATTTAGAGATTAGGGTTTGTAACAGTACAGTATTCTGAGGACACAAATCCTTATTTATGTAATATCATTGTTCACTCTGTTGTATTAAAACATCATAGATAAATAAAAATACTTACTGTGTATTGTATAGGAACTATTTATTAGATATGAATTTATCTCAACCAAAATTATTATTACCTGACCTGACCACTGGCATTGTGACTGGCCAGGTCGTGAGTCACTAAGTGTTTGCTGTTCCTTTTTGTTTTTGCTTTATAGCAGGATATGGTGACTACTGCAGTTTGAAAAACCAAATATCAATAAAAGTCAAACAGATTGTATATAGAAAATGGAACTGTACTGTCAACATTTAAAAAAGAAAAGAAATTCTTGTACAAAAGGAAGTATTTTTAGTGTTTTTTTCCAAAACTGTCTCAACAAAATTTGTAAATTTCACAATGTTATAAAAACTAAATCAAATTACATAATTTTTTGAAGCCAAAACTAGATACCAATTAGTAAATTTTCTAGATTCTATTTTGTAAGTTTGCTAAGTTTCATATTTCACTGACACCCTTCTGGTACAGAAAGGGTTTAAAGTGTGGTCACGTGCAAGAAAGATTGGAATGGTTTTGACATTATTCTTCCCCTATAAAATTTAAATGTTTCTTAATTTAGAAGTACCAGTATAGTAACTATATATATAATACTTGGAATTCTTAAACAGGGACATCATACTAATGTCAGAGCTACTTGTAACTCAACATCATGTGATGAAAGTTCTGGAAGTTCATCACCAGCTCGTAAGGCAACTGATATGATCATGGCTACACTCAGTTTGAATTCTTCAGATAAGGTAAGTTGTCCTTTGAGATGTTAACTGTGTAAGTAAAAACTTGTTACTTTTTTTTTCTTTAGTAGACATTGGCACTCTCTCAACACGAGCTCGGTCAATTTGACCGACCACGTGACCTCTTTGTACTCGTTTAAAGTCTTTCACATACAAAAAATCTTATTTTTTTATTGAAGAATTATTAATAAAATAAAATATAGATTTGTCCATGAATATATTTAGTATTTGTTTCGAATAGTCCGTGTGCAAAGTAATTTTCATGTTAAAATTAAAAATACTTTTTCTCATCTCAAATTTCATTTGTGTTATCCCTAAAATCTCCTAAATGCATTTCAAATGTTTTTTTTTCAGTAAAACTTTATAGTTTATCTGTTATTTTTTCTACCTTATTTCAAAAAAGAATTAGTCAATTCGACTAAATTACCCTTTTTTCTTCCTAGAACGACATTCGTTTATCTTAAGTAGCTCTAAGTTTGTAACAGTATACATCTATTTATAATTAAATTTTATTGTTTTATTGCCTTTTGAACCATGTCTAACTACAATCCGCACCATTATAAGTTATAAATCACTCGGGGAATGTGCACCTTACGTTACGCTAACGAATTACATTACCTACGAGCTACCACTAGCTGCTCGTGTGTATGCCTTGTGAAACAGTTTTATTGCTATTTATTTACCTAATCTAATCATAACTAACCTAAAAGGATCCCTATTTTTACATTTTACTTACTTTTATTATTATACATAAAGAATAAACATGAAAACAAGAAAAATACTTAACCAATCTTCTTCTTTTTTTTTTTTTTTTTTTTTTGC